GCGCAAGGGCTGGTCTCGCGTCTGCAAGGCCGGGGGGTGCGGGGAGCGGCGGTGGCGGTTCGGGCGGCGGTTCGGGAAGTTTCAGTGAGGATGGCGCCAGAGGAGTGTTTCTTGTATTTTGTTTGTTTTGGAAGGACGCTCGCAGTCATCTTCTTGGACATCTTGCCTGTCATTTATCATCCTTCGGGTTTGCCTCTCCTTTTTGACACATTTATCATCGTCATCCTGGGGACCAACTTCTGTTGGAGTTTGTTGCTAATTGGCGGTTTCTCAGACATAAAGATGTATTACAGTATGTACAGATATACACAAATGACTTGTCTCGTGAGGGCCGCTCTACTCGATCCGACACTTCGGAGTAGTCCGAAGCTACACGCGCTTGTTTTGATTTGGCTGGCCTATCGTTGTCACGGTCCAACGAAGAGAGACCCGTGCAAGCTGAACCTTGTTGGTTGGTGAATGATTTAATTATGTGTTCATCCAGAAGAATCCAATGGATGAATCCAACTAGCTTTCAAAACCTGGCAGACCCCCTTTCCAAGCTTAGCCAAAAGAGGGGCGGCTGGAGGTCCGGCCAATCACTAGATTGAGCTATGTCACCCATTTAGCTAGGCTTTTGGTGTCCCTTGTAGCACGTTCAAATATATGAATTGGGGTGGACGCACAGCCATTGTTGAAACCCTCCTGCCTGCGAAATTTTGCAAGACTCAAGACCAACAAAGAACCAAGACAATTGGACAGGCACCTTTCTTCCTAGATCCACACAACACTTTGAGCTTTTTGAACCTTTCCCCGGTGCGTCCTTTTTTCTCCCAACACAGCCTCCGGGGTCTTAGCATTTCCTGAGTTTTTCGTTGGGGGGCAACTCGGTGCGCAGAGCTGCATAGCGCGCACCCAGAGGTGGCCCTAGTCCCACGTTTTTTTCGGTTTGGTCCAGGCCGACCCGGACGGGTTCTGCACCGAAGTCTTCCATTGCCTGGAGTCCGAGTTCATCCCCTCGGAGATGCTCAAGGCTCGAGTCGACTCGAGATCTGCGCGTTTTTCGCCTTCCGTCCTACGGAAATACCCATGGGAGCTGCAAGGTGGCTACCCACTATCCCCACGAACGCGCATAGAACCAGAGAGCTTTTCAAAAGGAAAGTCGTCTTCAGGACTCAGTCAGGTTGGTGACAGGATCCTGGTATTCGGCTGGTATCCAATCAGGCGGAGGAGGCGGCGGTGAAGGCAGCAGCCAAGGCGAAGGGAAAGGCGGCCAAGGCGGGAGCTTTGATCTAAGGCGGCCATGTTCGTGAAGACGTGAGTCAATGTGTGTGTGTGTGTGTCTCTGTGTGTGTGTGTGTGTGTCTCTGCGTGTGTCTCTGCGTGTGTCTGTGTGGCTGTGTTTTGTGGGTGCACCTGTTTGGGCAGGTGTTGAAGATGACAAGGAAAGCCATGCATTTTGGGGGTCCCCCCAAATGTTGAGCAACGGCCACATGTCGGTCTTGGGTTGCCAACTTGCTGTGAAGGGTTCACAGCACCAGGTCCTTAGATCAAGGCGCCATGGTCAGGCGATCCCAAAGGTGGTCGAGGTGCCGCAGGAGAACCGGGCGCTGTGGGAGACGGTGCAGGAGATGTTCGAGTTCGAGGCACGGCGCAACCAGTTGCGCCGGCGAGCGCGTGCTCGGCTGCGGGGTATGCTTTGCTGCTTGTTTTGGCGGGCGTCCTTAAAGATTCAAGCGACAAGGGTGTGCGATTGAACTATGGAAGCAAGACCTCCAGTTGCCCTAAAAACAAACATATGTGTTTGGTTTGGCAAAATTCCGTTGCGGTCGAATTGTGCATCAGTTTGACCACAGATCGCCTTTGATTTCTGGGCCTGGTGCTTGAAACGTCCTCCGTCGTGATCAGAGGTTTTTCTCCTCGCCATAGGGGGGCCTGTGTTTGCCCCAGTGCTTGCATAAGTTGCACGGGTGTTTTGGTTCCCGAGCAATCGTCAATTTGAAAGTGGCGCTGGGGGAAACATCAAATCACGATTCCAACAATTCTATGAACCGAGAAATTCTAGGAAATCCTAGAAAACCCAGGAACCATGATTCCAAGAACCGTAATTTCCCAATTCGTGCCTCTTTTGCAACCCATGCCGAACCAGACATTCTAGCACTTCCGTTTGCTTCAGAATTGTTTTTCTATTACATGTCGGTTTCAAAGGGAACCTAACAAAACTGCACATATTTTCTCATTTTTCTCAGCAAGCGAACAAGAACATGGAGGAGGACCAAACTGGCTGCCAAAACCAGAAGTTCGATCATGCTACTTCTGCCGGGTCAGAAGTCCTTGGCAGGTGGAGTGGATCGCGCAGGCGATCGACGGGGACTTCTCAGACAGCTCGGTGTACCAAGGGCCTTGCTTCACCCTGGCCGGGGTTCCCCAGTGCTGGGAGGCCCACTGCCTGAATTCCGGAACCCTAAGCAACCTTTTTGACATACCGTTTTGGCGGCAAATGAACAGTTTGGACCTGTCTTGCTCAACATCTTGAACAACTTGTGCCAGAGAGTGTTTTCCCTTTGTTCTGTCCCACAAAAAGTTGCGGGTTGGGGATCCCTCGTCATTTTGACACAACCCAGATGGGCACACCCCAATACACCCTGAACAACCTCAGCCAAGCAATCAATCAGTAAACATGTCATTTGAGGGAATTACGTCGGGAGCAGTTCAGCCGATTTAGAGAGAAATCCATTTTGGTTCCGTGTCTCAGCTTCAAGGATGGACTACGAAAAACCATGCGTGAAGCCTTGTCCAAGTCCAAGAGTCTGCAGCTCGCATCTAAGGATACATCAAGCTTTTTCTCGATGTTCTCCTGTTTTGCGCCAGAGACTAGGTTTGACACAGATCCGAAAGGATGCAGAAGGCAGCCTGACTTGTTGGAATTGTGACGGGGCTGAGATGTTGCTCTAGTGTTTTTGCAAAGGTTACGGACATCTCCTGATGATTTCTCCGACTGAGACGGACATGGCGAATTCGACGGTCAACGGTCAGGGGATGTCCTTATGGCACTGGCCAGGGAGTATCATCCACTTGTGGTCGGGGGCAAAATCTTGCGAGCCATTACATTGAAGTGCCACTGTATGGCAGGGGTCCTTGTATTGGATGATTGAAGCATCATCCTGGCAAAAGGGGGGCATCGAAACGAAACATGACTTCTTCCTTTCATAAAAAGTCCATCATGGACGCTTCCACAAAAGTTTCAGGTTCCTTTCGCAGTGGGTCTCCTAAGTCCAAAAGCCCAAACCCCCCAAAAATCCCCCTACGGAAGGCACTTGGCTTGATTGGGCTTGGGCGCCTTGGCTTGCCGGCTGTAGGTGGTGCGCGGGTTCAAGACCTTGGAGGACACGACCGGGCGGTCGTGGCCGTGGCCCAGCTCGCGAGTGATCGAATTGGGGGGGGGGAAGGGTTGGGATCGGCTTTCTCCAGCATTGGCTGAGAGCATGGGATTGTCACTCCTTTTTTGAGGCTACTTCTTGATTGCTAGGTTTTGTCCCTGGGTAACACCTTGAGGTACATCTTGATTGGTAGGATTTTTACAGGAGCGGACAAGCCAGAAGGAACACACATTTATTTTCCTTTTTTTTGGCTTTGGGCGGGGGCCCAAAACAGACATACACACACAGCACATGTGCGGGAGGCCTCCAAGCGTCGGAATATTCTCATGAACATTGGGTGGATATGGCCTGTCACAAGGACGCTTGCTGGAGGGCAACTCCAAACGGGCAACTCCTTTTGTTTTCACCAAGAGCCAAGATGGTTGCATTGAAGCTCTCCCGAGCACCTGTCATTGGGGGTGAACACAGAACCAGTAGAAGAAACTCACACATCCCCTTGGCCCAAGTCAAGAAGGCGAGCGCCCAGCTTTTGGCGGAGTTCTGGTGGTGTTCCTTGCCCACTGGTTTCCCCCTCGGGCTGATGAATGCTTGTGACCAGTGGGTCAGTCCATTCAAGGGGCTTGTTGGCTTTTACGGGGTTTCTGTGCTTTTTGCAAGCACATGTCCCCTTTCAACTTGTGGTGTGTATGCGATGCTCCTTTTCCCACTGACAGGTCAAGGAGAAACATATTTTGCTATGGTTTTGCGAGCAAGGGTATATACGGCCATACATACATACAGACAGACAGACAGACGACAGCCAGACAGAGAGACAAGCAGGCACACAGACACACAGACACACAGACACACAGACACACAGACACACAGACACACAGACACACAGACACATACACACATACACACACATATACACACACATATATACACACATACACACACGCACACAGCCACACAAACACACATAGACAGACACAGATACACGCAGACACAGATACATACACACATATATACATACATACGTACATACCTACCTACCTACCTACCTACCTACCTACCTACATTCCTGCATGCATGCATGCATGGTGTATGCATGCATACACACATGCATGCATACACACATGCATGCATACACACATGCACACATACACATACATATACATACATATATATATATATATACATCTACATACATAATCATACATACATACACACATGCACACATACACATACATATACATACATATACATACATATACATACAAATACATACACACACACATGCATACATACATACATACATAGATAGATGGATAGATAGATAGATACATACATACATACATACATACATACATACATACATACATACATACACATACACATACATACACATACAAACACATACAAACACATACATACACACACATACACATACACATACACATACACATACACATACATATACATATACATATACATACACATACATACATACTTACATACATATCTACATACATACATATACATACATATACATACATATACATACATATTCATACATACACATACATACACATACATACACATACATACCCAGACATAAACACACATACACAAACATATACATACATACATAGATGGATAGATAGATCGATAGATAGATACATACATACATACATACATACATACGCACACACATACACACACATACACACACACAGATACATACATACATACATACATACATACATACATACATACATACATACATACATACATACATACATACATACATACATACATACATACATACATACATACATACATACATACATACATACATACGCATACATACATACACATACATACATACATACATACATACATACATACATACATACATACATACATACATACATACATACATACATACATACATACATACATACATACATACATACATACATACACACATACGTACATGTATATGTGCATATACATGTACATACATATACATATTCATATACATATATAGAGAGATAGATAGATAGATAGATAGATAGATACATACATACATACATACATACATACATACATGCCTGCATTTACATACATACAAACAGACACACACATATACATATACATACATATACATACGCATACATACATATGCAAACAGATACATACATATACATACATATACATACATATACATACATATACATACATATAGACACAGAGACACACACATACTTACATATGCACACATACACACATCATACAGACATACACACATACAGACACACATACATAACCGTACACACGCATTGGCACATACACGCACATACACGCATGCAGACTCACAAACACACATAAACACAAACACACAGACACACAGACACACATACACGTATACACACATTCACGCTACACACGCACACAGATACAATCAGATACATATCTATGCAACTAATACATTCATGCATATATATATATATATACAGATATCTGTATATATGTATATGCACATATTCACATGCAAAGGCCAAGCACCTGTTCTCCTCTCGGCAGGACACCTTGGACCACTACTTCTCTCCCAAGGTCATCGAGGATGGCGCTGGCCTGCGGGTGCGCACCATGCGGAAGTTCCGGCGCATGCCGCTGGGAGACAATCCGAGCCGTGGCGTGGTTTTTTTGGCTTCCCGTGGTCCCCAGCCATGCGATTCCTTAGGTCTTTTTCCTTTGGGTAGTTTTTTGGGGCATGTTTGCGCAGAAAAAAAAACATGTTTGCTGAGAAAAACTGACATGCGCTTCTAAGCGAGTGGGTTTAGTGGGTTTGGCGGTAGTTTCCACTAAACCACGAAACGTTCTCGACCTTTAGCAGGGGATCTGGGAAGATCAGTGGTATCATCTGGAAATTGTTTTGCCATCTGGTAGGGTCCCCATAAAATGAGCATAGCCAGACGTGCTTGTCGTTCCCCCGAAGTTAAAGTGATCCATAGGTTTTCTTTCTGGTTTCCTTTTTATTGGTTTGCGAGCGATTCCCATGGAGAAAGGCTGCATTCTTGGCGCCATCCGGGTTGAGCCGGTGTATCATATCGTACCTCGCTGGGCGCGCCATGGACACCTGTTCTGCCAGAGAAACCTGTTGTGCCAGAGGAAACGTTCAGTTTGAAGGACTTGGGAAGGATAGGGGCGAAGGAGTTTCGCATTTTTTTGCTTGAGGGATTCGGGCCTTCGCTCCCCAAGGCAAAGATGAAGAAGGGACGTGCGGGGCCGGGAAATCGGTTGGTGCGGCTTCTTTGGGATCGGGACTCGAGCTTGCCTCAGGGAGAGATCTGCTTTGGGACTTATGCCACCCGTTGGGTGGTTTAACCCTATCTGGGTTTCTATGCCGATGTCGGCAAGTGATGTCGGCCTCGCAAAGTGGGTTTGCGATCTCAGCGAGGATGAAGGTCTCTTCATAGGGTTTACTTGGGGTTCATTCATGCTTATACTCAACCCAGATGTACTTGTATGCAATGCAAAAGTGTCCTCATGGGGCTTGAATTCAGCTTCTTTGGATAACGCCCATCTTTTCCCACCAAAGTGGAGCCGTGCTGCCTGCCCTCAGCGACTTAACCTCTGCACCTGGCCTGTTGCGCAAATCCCCGCGAGAGACACGGCAGATTCCAGGGTGCTTGTGAGACCTTACGGGAAAATGTGAGAACCTAGTGCCAAACTTGTATCAACAAAGGTATTGTTAAAAGCTTTGTTGACCCCTGATGAATAAACCCTTCAGATATTTATCAAGGGTCCCTTTCTAGTGGGGATTCCTTTCCTCCAGGGAACCCTTCCGGATTAGATGGATCAAAAGCACCGATTCCGTCCGATTCCTCGTGGGATTTTTTGCCATTCAGGCCGAACGTGCTGCAGTGGTACCTGAAGCGAGGCGACTACGACTGCTGCACGGGCCTTTCCGGGGTCACGGACACCTACCTCAGCTTCCCGCGTCAGATTGACATGGGCAAGCGCCGGCCTCAGCAAGTCAGCGAGTGGAGTCGTGGCGGTGAGCCGCTGGCAGCTGGCAGCCGGGGGGGTTCGGGGCATGATTGACCTCCTCAATCAAGGCTTTCAACATTTTAGGGGTGATTGGAGTTGTTTC